GGGGGGGGGGGGGGGGAGAGAGCGCTGGAAAAATTTATACAATCTACGCATATCCAAAGCAACGAGATTCGCGCGGAGTGAGTCATCATCGTATAATATCGATCCACCTACATTGTACAAACCGCGTGCGGGTAACACAGTCTAGAGTTCGCGCCGTATCGGAGACTTGCGCCTATCGGTACGACAACGACCACGACGAGACGGACGATTCATTAAAACGGCACCACGAGCACTTCCCTCTGCCGATTCGCCGTGGTCGGCGAATGCCGGCCAATTTAAAGCGTTCCACATCGTTTCCTGTTTATTACGTCCCCGATGTCGGCACGATCAATGGCTGCGTGACCTTGGCGCGAGCGAAATATCACGCACAATCGTGTGATCGTTATTTAATTATTAAAGACCGTTCTCCTCGATGTTAGCTTGGCGCTACTTCGCGAATTAGACGGACAATTGATCATCGGCCTTGTTGCGACAGCGAGTCGCATGAACTATTGCGCAAAGCGTAAGCGAGTGACGATAATTCGGAGACATCCTATAAGCGTACTAGCGTACTCTAATCTTGAATGAAGAATCTTGTATTCCGTCCCGCGGATGCTTTACCATTCATTAAATCAACAATCGCTACGCATTTTCGACTCACTCGTTTTCAGTCATAAGGAACACGTAGCTAGAAACGAGTGACAACTGACTTTGAATACTTGGAGTAACTATCGATCTATCGATGACAAGCATCCTTGAGGTTAAGATGAGAGGTTATAAACCTCTTGCTAACAAACGCGCTACCTACTAAGATTCGCTGTTACTTGTATTCTAATATTATTTATCCAATTACCATCGCATTTCTAATTCTCGATTGATAAATCCGACGATTGACCAATTCTACTACCTGAGTGAGTCGGTGGTACTTGCAAGCGTAAGAAACGCCGACTCGATCCGTCGCGACAAGCACCGGTTGCATATAACCAGAAATGAAGAGATCACTTATTAATAACGTCCTTATGATACGTTCCGACGATCGTACATCATTATTTTCGACACTGCTGACGCCTGATTTACAATATGCTCTTTGCTTCCTGCTTCTTTCTCTTTATCTCTTTCTGACTCAAACCTTAAGCTTAAGCCAGAAAAAGATAGAAGATAAGAAACAGAACACAAAGAGCATATTGTAGATCAGGCTTTAGTTCCAAACGAGACTCACTCACGACAGGCAAAAGATGCATAAAACGCGAAGGGATTTCGATCGATGTGTTAATGGCAGCTGCTCGACGTGAAAAGATCGAAAATGGCTGCACAATGTACGACAAAAATTCGTGCCGCGGCGTGACGGTGGTGCGCTGCTACGATGCTATCTGTATACTTAATCCTGCGATAGATCGATAAATTCGATAAATTGATAACTGATACAAATGTTTGCAAGGAGAGAATTTCATATTAAAAATTATTATAGGATTTTGTAATCGAGAAATCGACATGCTGCAGTAATTTACTATTTTATATCGAGAAAAAGGATATTCTTATTTGGAAAATATCTTTATTTTTGACATATTAATCTTCAAATAAAATTATATAACGCTGAACGAGGATAAGTTATTTGCAAGAATATATTTCATGATTCAATGAAAAGAAACCTGTGTTCTTATTATTCAACAATAATTTTCATTAATGAAAGACACAAAATATTGGACTGATAATACAATGGTTTTAAATGTATGTTATACTCCAGGTCCCTCCTATCCTCTTAAAACTATTATATTCAAATTAACAATCACTGATTCGTATATAAGTAATAATTTTATTAGAAGAATTTCATCGTCTTGAATTTAAACAATTATTTATTGAATTGAATATAAAATATGTTGATGCAAGTTATATATTTTCGTTTAACGTTATCTCATTTGAAGATTAACATGTCAAAAATAAAAATATCTCCCAAACAAGAATATCCTTTTTTTGATGTATCATTTTATATGCTGTTTATTTTTTAATAATTGAAATGTGCTATTAAAATACTTGCAAATATTTCTAGCAAAATCTGTTATGTTTGCAGCGAAATTTATTATGTTCCTTAGTAGGATAGATCTTATTTACAATCTATTTCTGAACTGCTAAAGACAGTAAAATGGGAAAGAATTTATAACATATGAAAAAAAAAATAAAACTAACATTCTTTCGTGTGTAACTATGTGTTTCTCATGACTGTTGATTAATCCAGAAATCCTTTCTCAGAAATTATTTCCTGGATTAATCAATAGTCCTGAGGAATGCATAGATACAGATGCGGCCGGCCGAAAACTTTTCATAACTATCGATCTAATGGAGTAAAGCATCCGCGATTAAGTGTACTATGTTGAGACGGAGTTATGAGCTTGTCGAAAGAAAGAAATAGAGTTATTTTGGTATAGACTAAAGTCGAGTATCAATCTTTCGATTATTAAGTGGAGATAAATATAAGGAGAAAGAGAATAGTGTGCGTGGCGGTACACGTGTGATGTTGAAAGAGACTAGAGCGAAGCCGATGCGCACTGACGCGCGCATACACACATGTACATTGCGATATACAACACGTATTATTATAAATTACCTTTTGAAAGTACATGGCACGGGAATCCGACATTGAGGGATTAACGATGGAAAGCGGCACGCGATGGAATTATCAAAGCCAGTAATAAATGATCGGATTTTTAAACGTAGACTTCGGACGGGGGCGAACAACAATGCCGTACCGTTACCGTACAAGCACACAATCATACGGGTGTTGCGAGAATAAATAACTGCAACCTACTTAAGCGCCTTCGTTACAAGCTACTCGTACGCCAAAGCACTATCAATCAGAAACACGAGCGCGTCGTTTCGCGCCTCGAATGATCGAGTCAACAGACTCGTACAGGCTCGACAAGAGAGAAAGAGAAAGAAACGAAGCAACTAGTCGAGATATGATGAACCGCCGTGGCTATGAGGTTTACTTCGAGATCGAACCTGTGAACTCTCCTTGACTCTTATTGTCCGAAACGCTACCGCGTTTCTTTTTAAATCGAACGTTGAACCACGTAAGTGAACATCCTAAAAGATCCGGAGTAGCGATATGAAAATTACTCGTGAGCCATGCTGGTCTTTCCTGCTCTCATGTATTTCTGATTGAGTTTGTCACAATGCACGTCCGACCCCTTTTGACGAATTTATACTGAACTTTACATCTCAATGGGGATCAATGTGTAACATTCGCGACACGAACGTGTGCTGTTCAATATATACATATGACTGATCGCAGATCGTAGCGAAGTTCGCAAAGTCAACGTCAAGATAGTAGCTGATAATAATAAACCGTGCACGCGCGTGTCTAATGTCAACACTTGCTCGTAGTAAAAATACGCCGATAAGAATTGCCAATTGAAATAGGATAGGGTATCAAGTAACGGTATAATGGGCTGTTTTGCACAAAAATACACGGGCGCGCACTTGTATTGCGGAAAGGTCTCGTTAAAATGTTGAAACTGACCGTGAAACTCGACTCGAACGACTGAAGTGTAACGCGACGTTACGTCATAATATTACCAGCGCATTGCAAAGTGCAGGATCATTATAGCACGCACGCACGCACGTGCGTGTGTATCGTAAGAATAAATACGAGAGAAATAGAGGATCGCCGAGAATTTATTTTGGAAGAGAGAGATACGGGGGTTGCGGTGTGTTGCTACAAACGCGCGCGGTAATCAGGCAACTTCCTTCCGCTAAAAAGCCGCTGAACCATGCCGGCACACGTGAGACCATCTGGCGGATACGTAAAGCGACCGATGTAACTTACAACATGGAAATCGTGCTCGTCGTTTTACCAAGCGGATTCTATTACAACGTCTCTCTCATCATATACCGTCGATATGCGCGAATATGAAGCATTCCTGAATGGTGGCAACAATTATCGCCGATATGACAATGCTGCGCGCAACGTCAAAACAATAATTATCTGTCGCTCGACACGCTCTGTCAAGGTCATCGAGTTAAAGGTTCTCGCGTCATTAGATATCTATATATAGATGATCTGTCTTAAAAAACGTTGTCTGATTACAAATCGAAAGTCGTTCGGATAAAATTCCCTTTCGTGAATGATTCATGAATTTTTACCAAACGGTGGTTCCTACACAATATTTCTCATAACGTTAACAATATGAACTCGTAAATTGAGATAAAATTTTATCGAGCCAACTTCTCACGTTCGCGGTAAAGAATTTAATAATATTCTCTCGCGTCCGTATAACACGTGCAACGAAATTTCTGCGTATTGAATATTATAGAGATTTCTATCGGCTTATCGCTGAACTCTTCATTGGCGCTTATATATTAAATGCAGCAATGCAACGAAACGAAAATCTATAGTAGATCGTGCGAATATCGGCGTGATAAGGGAATCGAAGCTGTAGTCACGCGAAGCGAAGGCGCGCCACAGTTCTGCACAACTTTACGATTTATGACCGATCGAGTCGAGTCAATATCCTCCGTTTAGCGTGGAAATCTGACGAGGTAAATCGTTGTGCTATTTACTCAAAAGCTATTTACCCATCGTCATAAATGTCTGTTTGCGTCTAAAGCATCTTGTTGTTAGCGAGTTTCAAAATACGATCTTATCAGAGCAGAATCCCTGACACGTCGGAAAATTTTCGACGAGGTAAAAAAAGAGAGTGAATTATCGTCACTTAAGACTCACGGTTACGCAATTTAGACGTTAAGACTACAGACAGGGAGTCTGAAGCATGGACGTTCGTTTAGAAGTTGCAGCGTCTGAGCATGAGTCGCGAAATGCGAATGTGCACCGAACCGATGTGCAAAACTTGCATCGTTGCGGGACACGGCGCATCGCTGGACACGTATAACAGTTAATCTCGTTACGCGTAACGGACTATATCAGAAATATCAAGTGATCACCTCGCGGTGCTCATTCGGCTCGTCGGTAGTATTCGCTCGTAGTATTCGCTCCGTTTAATAATATTGGGCGCTCGCAATCATTTTCTAACTTAGTTAGACTAATCTTATTGCTTATTATTACTCTTAATAAAGATAAGTATAAAATGTAAAAATCTTATACGCAATGCGGACAATAATTTAACGTTTTCACATAATCTTTCAGAAGTAAAAAGAATCTAATATAGGCCGGTATTCATAGTCGAAACTTATTTCAAGACCATCTTAAGTAATGTCTTAAGATACGAATACGGCTCTGTGATTGGTTCATGACATCTTAAGACAGTATTTAAGATAATCTTAAATATAAGATCTGACTATGAATACCGGCCATAGAGCGTCGTCTGCTTACAGGTTAGATAAAAAATATCTAGGTGTAACTTGTATTTCAGTTAGAGATCTTACACAGTACTTTTCGCACCTTCTAAAATCGACTTTAAGTTCAAGAAGGTTATAAATAGTCGAACATGTTTGTGTGTTACAAAAGTCAACTAGTGACTTGAGACAGTGTCCGTTAGAAGAGAAAGTAAACACAACGTTTAATGTAATAACGATGTTTTTTTGTAGTCTGAAAAAAACAAGAACACCAATCGTGTAACACCAAACGATATGTATGTGAGAAATTCGAGATAAACTCCCTTTGCAGCAATATATTTTAAGAAACATAATAGCGACGTTCCTGTTTGTCTCGTCGTGTACATAATGTCTCAAACATTGCGAGTTATCGCTTCCTTCTACTATCTCAAGATTCTTTCAACCGGAATTGATATTTCTTAGACACAAATATTTAATTTTAGAGATTACACATCATCGCACTCCAATATTCAACGCTGTTGAGACACATTTATAATTAATTCTCACGTTAAAGTTCCAAGTCCAATTAAGTCTACTTTCTGCAATGTTGATACAAACAAGAAAACAGAGCATCTTCGTGAACATCTTAAAGGTAAAAAATAATAAGAATTCGTGTACAACTTAATCTCAAAAAATACGAAATATTCAGGGCCAATTTTTCCAACCTCTTGGTAACTAACGAAATTGAATCATGTATCTATTTAATTTGAAAAGAAACAAATGACATGATTTAAGTTAGCTCTGTTAGTTAGCTTACCAACAAGTTGGAAAAATGGACCCTCAGGGTAACGATCGTGTAACTTTTTCTAAAGTTTCACGTAACGGCTTTTGCAACCATGTAATTTCTCGAACAATGGAAACATGAACATTTTCACGTGAAACTTTGTAGCGTGGTTTACGCTAGAGGAAAAGATATATAATCGCCGTACTCAGCTTGGTAAAAACGTTCCCCAGCTATCGTTAAAACGTCTACATTGTACAGTGACGAATGACGAAGCGACAGGAGCGAACGGCCGGCAGCGAGAGCACGTTGCGGAGCTCACGCGCGGCGCGGTGGCGCCGCGGCTGACGTGCCGCGTGAGAGGCCGCGACGTCGAGGATCTGCGGCGCGAGCACGTTCGCGAGGGTATATACGTAGGTGTAGCGCGAATCAGCCGGCGTTAAATTCGCGAGAACGATCGCACAGACTGGCCAGGATCAGAAGGAGACGGCGAGATCGAACGGAGAAACGAGAGACAGAGACAGATAACGGTAATCTCAAGCGGTCGGGGACGTCGTCGCGGAGTCGACGCAAACCGCAAGGCCGTCGGCGCGTGACCTTAATGAGTAATCAGTCCGGCAGCTCGGGCGGGCGTTAATCGTGCAATATTACGCGGAGCTGCACGAACTGACCCAACCGTCCGTTTGAGCGACCAGTCGACCGACCGAACGTGAGATCGTACTGTCAAACGCGTGCTAGGCTGGAGCACGTCTGATAAACGACAGGAAGAGTGATCGAACGAGCGCGATGACAGCCACCGTGGACGGGCACGGTCGCTTCGGGATGTCACGTACCTTGTCCCGAATCGACGTACGCAAATCTACAGCGAATGCCGGGTATGGCTTTCTTCGCGGACGGCTCACGGCGCTCGACGTGCACGGCGCGATATCGTACAACGACGTGCAGATACGTGCGTGCGTGAATGCGTGCGTGCGGACGGGTGGCGGGCCTCGTGGCAATTACGGAGCACGGTGCGCCGCCACGGCGACGTGTACGGCTCAATGACGCCGGGCTGTCGCGGCACGGGCAGGTCGCGGCGAGCAAAGGGGCGCGACGCGCCGACAAATACCTCGTTTCTCGACGAGCTTCGAAATCTCCTCCCTGTTGTCAGCCATCTTAGCACCAGTCACTGTCCCACAATGCACGTTGGGTAAAAACAAACGAGCCGAAGCCGCACCGCGGCGCCAGCGACTCGATACCGCAACGCCACCTGCTGTGTCGTAATCGAGTCAGCGGCTGGTTGCCGCAGGGCTGTAGCTACTCGATATGGACCACGTGACATCTCTCTTGAAAAAGATGTTAGAATACTAATTATCTGACGATCATTATCTGACAACTGTAAATATTTAATAAGTTTTTACTTTCTCCCTCAATTTGGATTTCTTACTTCTATACAAGCTTTGCTGTATATAGCTTGTGCTGGCGATTATCTTATTCATATCATTTGCATTCACTAATGTGTAGAACTCGCATTAACTTTCGACGGGTGTTGAAAATACTTTCTCTTTATCTCTATATATTTATAAATTTAGGTAGATAGTATTTCCTGATTAATCGTAACAGATTACTCGATTGAGCAAAATATCGAAGATTGGGAGATGCTTATTTCGCTTTTATAAAAAAAACATTTTACGGATAAATTTAACAATTTCTGAGGTTATTATTACCAAAATCATTAAAAAGACCTCTAACCAAATCTAGATTTTAATCTAATCACTAAAAATAATTTGCATAATAAATGCAAAATAATTTACATTTTACATACTATCTTGTGACATTATATGCGATGTCATATCACATATTAAATAGTTATGCATGAATTTATATTATATATCTTCGTCATTCACGCACGTATTATATTTTCTAGGCATAAATTTTTAGATGCCGCATTAAACAAATACATAAAACATGATAAATCTTCCTGAGAATTTTTAAGAAAACATACGTAATATATATCCAGAAAAAATGTAGTCCCCTCTTTCAATCTTTCTCCTTCTTCGCGCAGGTACACATTCGTGACTTGACACACTTTCATGAAAAAGCCGCTCCTGACACCACGTCGACTACGCTATATATTTCCGTTAGATCATCCAGCGACTGCAGTCTTCGTGTGTTTTTCCACAAGAATAGTGGTGTCTGTTGAAAATTCGCAAACATGAATAACCGAGATGTTGTGATTGTTTCAGCTGTTAGAACTTCCATAGGTAACAACGAAAACACAGTAAACGTGCAAAATAAATCAAATATTGGTTAAATTGTATATAGAAACTTGTGATACAAACTTTGAGTAATTAATTTAACAAATTAAATATAAAACTAATAAACTGAAGATACTTGTGTGTGAATTAAATCTTCAAGGATTATATTCAACGATTATAAACAGTTAATAAGTTTTTCTGTGTATATGTTCATTTAGGTGGCATATTTGCTGGGAAATTATATATGCTTAGAGGATATTGATATCATAAATAAATCAAAATCTTATATGAAAATAATATATATTTTTGGTTTAGTATATTATTTATATAATAAAAAGTATTTGCGTCACAAGAGAGTCAGATACATCTTATTATTTGAATACTCGAGGAATATGTAATCATAACGTCATAAGTATACAGCTTTTTAATACTCCACCTTACAGGATCATTCTGTGGATCTCTGTCTCATCTGAAAGCATCACTGCTTGGAAGTATTGTTATTAAGGAAAGCTTGGCAAAAATTGGATTAGATGGGGCAGATGTTTCTGAAGTTATTATGGGACAGGTATTATACTTTTTCATATAGGCTGTGGACTAGAAGCAATATAGATGAGAAATCAAATTATATATATATATATAAAATTAAATTTATATATATATATATATATATGTGTGTGTGAAATATATAAAGGTATATTTTTAGTATATTTTTATTATTCTTTTATATATCTGTATATATATTTACATTTTTATCATTTATATACTTATATTCACACACCATACATGGTTTTTCAGGTTTATGCTGCAACAGAAGGCCAAAACCCTGCAAGACAGGCTGCAATATATGCTGGCATACCCAATCATGTACCAGCTTATCAGATCAATATGTTGTGCGGCTCTAGTTTAAAGTACGTCTAAATTATAATCAAATGATGTAGCATTTTTATAAGTGCAATGCAGTGGTGTAACCAGAAAGAAGTTTTGAGGGAGGCTATATTTTTTATTTTTAACGAGCAAAGAAGTCATTCAAAAAAATTTTTCTTACGTTTAGCATAACCCAGAAAATTAATTTCGGGGGGAGCTGCAACCTCCTCAGCCCCCCCCCCCCCCCCCCCCCGCCCCCCC